AAAAAAGAAAAAAAGAAAAAGAAAAGAAAGACAGTGTTAGTTTAGTGCTGCTCCTGAGCGCTACGACCAGACGTGGAGACCGTGACCTGGAATGTTAGTGGGTCGGGCTCTACCCACACCCCATACTTGGTGGACTTCTCCCAACCTGGAAGGTTGCAAGACGTGAAACTCCTACAAGATGGAATGCTTCTCAAAGGGAATTGTCAACTCCTTTGCAGCTGGCTCATCCAGGAACCAGTAAAGCCTCCCAGTGTGTGGCTGGACAAGGGCAGCCGGCAGTGGGTTTTCCTCGTTGCCTTCCAAAATACGCTGTGGTGAGAAACAAGGATGCCAGGCTGTCAAAGTTTCAAAGTCTACACTTGGCACATGGTATTCAAAATGCTAATATAGGCATCAGATTTTTAATTGTGAGCGGCCCAGGGTCACTTTGGAGTCAGGCAGTGTCTAAATCTAATGAAATAAATGCATAAATAAAACTCTCCACCACCACCACCACCACCTTTCCTTGCTAGAAGGCACAGGGAACAGTCACAGGTGAGCTACTGCCAAGGGAAGAACCTTCCTCTTTCTTGGAAAATTCTAAAAAAGAAGGAAGGGGATTCACAGCCATCATTAAAAAGCTAACATGTGCACTGGACAAAGCCACAGTTGAATTCTGAAGCAAATCACTTTGATTCCTCAGTGCATTAGCCCATCATAACTAAGCACTCTTCAGCTCAGCCAGCCAGGGAAGAACAAACAAAACCTTTGCAAGAAACTTTTCTGAACAATGCTGAAAAACAGGAGTGACAGTCCCCAGCCCACAAGCTATATGCACTACCAGCATCTTCTTTGCAACCCCTAGAATTCCCCTACTTTATATCACCAAAATTTGGGGGCAAAATATGGAAATTTGATGGCATGACTTTGTTGTTGTTTAAGGAGGGGGATGTCTGAGAAAATAAAGGAAAGGTGCATTAAGGTTTCAGAGGGGTTACAAATGTTCCTCCCTTATAAAAAACACTCTTCCAAAAGGCTGAATATTTTGCCTCACCTCTCTGATGACATCATTGCCACATCCCCCACAGCATTCAAAAGCTGGGGAAAAAAATAAGGAAAAACACAGCCCTTCCAAAGGAAAGTACCTTTATCACTGCAGCCTTGTTGTCCCCAGTGGCAACAAACACCACACTCCTCGCTGCATTCAGCACAGGCAAAGTCAGCGTGATCCGCTCTGAGGGGGGCTTTGGGGAATCGCTAATGGCAGCCACAATCTTCTCCCGCTCCTGTCATAGGAAAGAAAATATGGACCACAGTGAAGGAAGGGAAAGATAGACCTTGGAAATAACATGGCCCAGAGCTATGTTTACTCTGTCTTTATCCATCCCAGAATTACCAGGCCAATGCAAGAGAACAGCATTAGATTAGTGACAGCTTAGCCCAAAGTAACAAACAGTGAGCTTTCAAGAAACTTGTCAGTTCACACCTTTTGTTTGGGCAGATGTAAACAGAGTGTAGCATTTAATTCCCCGAGTCTTAAAAAGAAGAGAGCAAATTATCTTACAAGTGTGCACAGCATTCAAAATTAATCACCTCTTGGAATGTTTCTGTTCCAAATGGAGTCCTCAACAAAGAACGATCTCTGTATGCCCCATATAGTATGTCTCCCCATCTTTTGAGGGGATGTTCCCATGCAATAGATGTATATATTAACAAACACTAACAAGGTTTAAGGAATTGAATTAGTTGTTTAACCAATTAATGCTTTAACTGTTGGGGGTCAGTCTCAACTGTAGCTGGTATATACTGGTTAACTGCATACTCATATAATATTGGAAGCTATTTCAGTTTTACTGGGTTACCATAATATGGAATGAATGAATGAGTGTGTGTGTGTGTGTGTGTGTGTGTGTGTATTTCCCCCTTCTAAAAATCATACCATATAGTCGTCTCTCTTTGTTAATTTGCCAGATCACCACTTTCTTCAAAGGCACTTTAACTGAAGCTCTGATATAAGTTATTTACATTTAATCTAATTTATAAATCACTTAGAGGATTGAAAGTTAAGCAGTTCATCTCCAAATTGGTCAATACCAAATATTCTCAAGTTTCCAACTCAGTAGAGTCTAAAGACTTGCTCAGATCAGCTGAAGAAAGGGACAGAGAAAGCTTCAAAGGTTATAGGAACAGATGATGCAAGACCAAAAAAAGAGCAAGAAAGGAAATTTTAATTAATACCCACAGGAGAAGCCTATCCATGTCTATTTCAAAAATCTTTAAGGCTTCTCCAATGGCTGGAAATTCTACTTGTCACCAGACCAAAGGGGTTACTTGCAACTTTCAACCATCTGTGAAAGAAGCTCAAGAAATCAATTGTGCTTATTTTCACAAGGTTTTACATTTTGCCATTTATTATTTTCTTGGTGGTCCCAGTGAATGATAGGCCTCACTATGCCATGGGTAGGCAACTGTTTGGGTCTGGTGGGCACATCTGAAATTTGAACGTTAAGTTGTAGGAGCTCTCTCAAAATAGTCATCATAGCAGGAGGCCTTGCCTATTCACAAAATAGCTGCTCTGGGAGGTGTGGCCAGTGGCAATACACCTGTTTAATAGAAAGCAAATTGCGGAAGATGCTTTCTTCTACCCTGGCCTTCCGGGATATTCTCTGGTATTCCTGTCCCACTGTTATGGGGATGGAAATTTGACTAAGAATAGCAGAGACAAAGTTGACTCCCCTATCTTCCCCAGGCAGGTCAATTGTACTGATGGCCAGCCCAATACTTTACAGGAGTCACTAAAGATTAGCTCTGGCTCTAGACTTCTTTAAAATGCAAGAGTCTCAGAATTGAGGCTAGCTCTTGTTCTCAACATACATTTGTCCAATTCTTTCTTCCTGCTGCCCAAAGAAAATCTATTTCAATACCTGGTTAACACATCACTTTTTAAAAGAATAATCTGTCACAAGTAAATGATAGTAGACCTTAATCCAATTACACTGAGTTTCCTCAGAATAGCTAGCAGGATTTCTGCTCCTTCAGCCCCTGACAGCATGACTCCATCTAACAGGATCACATACATATCTTCTACCCAAGCAGCAGCAGACAAAAAAAAAATCACCTATAGTTCCTCTCTTTGGCTCACCTGTAGTAGGGGATGATCTGGAAAAAGAGAGCAGGTGTGTCCATCTGGTCCTACTCCTAAGATCAAGAGGTCAAACACAGGCATATCTTCACCCTGGAAAGCCTGCGGGACAGAAACACACCTGAGGGTTGAAATATCACATTCACTTACCTACCTTTTCAACTTTTATACTGCCACTTGGTGTACACTTATTAAAATAGTTTTCAAAGAAAAATGTATTAGCAAGAACATAAACATGGGAATAACTGCCATCCCCCAAAGCACAATTATAATCTAGAAAAATAAAAATGTCTTTGCCTGGTATTAAAAAAGCACTAAAATGTGAATCAGGTGGTATTTTTGTGTTAAATGTTTCCATGATCTAGTTATTATGAATTTTAATCCTTTAGTAGAACATGTTTGCCCACAATCAGTTTTGGCACTGTAGTTGTCCTGAACCTGATCTGAGATTTCAAGCATTTGGAGGAAGTATCCCTATTTGCATCTGTTAACTAGTCCCAAGTGGTCTTTATCTGACTGAAAAAGACAGAGCGTAGTTTCTTTAACTTTTATCTTTTTTTTTGAAACTTAATAAAGTCTTATTGAAAAACAACAACAACAAAAGAGCTTGGCTTACTATATCACATCATCATATGGAAGATGCTACAGGATTACAGTTTTAGGAATTCAGAGCTAAAGAGCTAACCAGAGCATAGTAGAAGTGTTGTAATAACTTTATTCAGCATACTTTCATTTTAATCTACAATGTTCAACTTGCCACTATAACTGTTCAGCCTACCCAAGGCCTTTGAAAGGGCATCAGCTAGAAACTTACAATGAGCAGGCCTTTTACAGGTCTGGACTCAACACTGTGTCATGAACCTACATTCAAAGTTAGTGGCTCATCAACTTTTTGTCAAACATCTGGGAACTTTTATCAGTACTGAATAACAAAACAGCAGATCAGATCAAGAAGAGCTACTAACAATAGGGAGTTCGTGCAAAGAATTCTGAGTTAGGATTTAATCTCATTTCCAACCACTGTGCCTTACTTTCAAGTTACTAACACCGTACAAGAAAATCTGTCTCTAGCAAATAAAAATACACCAACTCTCAGCCATACCTTTTTCAGTTTTTCAGCATAATCTGCTGCTGCCTCTTCTACTGGTAGTGAAGGGTTGATAACAACTATTTGGTCATCAGGTATAGCAATTTTAGAAAGGAGGTATGTCTGAAATAAACAGAATACAAATCATATTACAGAATAGCAAAAATAACTCTGATCAGATTTATTTATGATATTTTTGCTGTACTTTCACACAAAAAAAGATAGGTTGGGCCTAATATGAGTCTCTCACAGAAGGAGAGGTTGCTGTTTCAAGAGAGGAATTTTACTGGCACCAATGGGGGGAAGAGAAGGTGAGCTATTCCATTCTCCTTATACCCTTCAAGAACCTCCCTAGTGGACAGAAGGACCCTTTAAGAATGGGAGAATGCTGCTGGGGAAAGATGGAACAGGTAGGAGTTACATTTCCATCCACTGCTGGGAGCATTCTCAGCAGTCTCACTCAGAGACTGTTTCCTCTGGCAGAATAAAAGCAGGATCAAACCCTATGAAATCAGCATCTTACATGCACCTCTTCCTATTTCATTTCCTTTTTCTCAGTATAATTGTCAGCTCCATGAAACCTGGGTCTGATTTCTTTTTTCCTCCTGTTTGTAAGTGCCATGATTCTCACTGGTGTTATATGAATAAGAAAATAAACATCCCACAAGTGAACCTTTCCCCCATTCCTGTATCTCCATCCTAGCATATCTTTCCCTTGTGTAACTGTGATCTTCCATGCAGCAATTAAAGATGGAAGACTTCTAGCAAGAAAAAAAAATGTAACTTTGTAATGGTCATCTACTCCTAAACAGAGCTAAGGGAACCATCTTTTACACCTGGATTACTAAATTTTATGGAAGAAGGCAAATCTTCCAGAATCTGGGAGTTTCTCTGTCTGCAAATGATTTAGTCCAACTGTCAGATTAATACAGAATGGAACCGATTTCATACTTTGCCACAAAAGTAGGCAGAAAATAAACTAGCCCACCAGCAGTCCATTGACCAATATTTTTGACAGTCAACTGAGTCCCCACTGATTATCTTACAAAAGACTCTAGGCTAGTTAAAGTGGACCTGGGTGTGCCCACTTTTAATGTGAGCATCCATACACCAAACTATTATAGTTTAAATAGGTAATACCCATGAGCAAACTACAGAGATTCTACAGTAGTTAAAAAGGAGACATTGCCCAGGCAGACAGACGGAAGTCAGCTAAAAGATTAAGCAAGAAGCTGCAGTCACTTGTTTTCTAATACAGATTTACAGGCAGCAGATTACAGCTCCATACATGGCTTGAGTTTTAGAGTTTGTATCCACAAGGCTTCCTATTGCATCAATCTCCTCGAGCTTTTTATACCGAAAGGCAGGAAATACATTTAAAGATGGTTGCAGGGAGGTGGGGGGAGTGTCTCATATAGGATGCTGAACAAAGGAAATCTCAGCCTGGCTCCGCAAGGCGTTTGCAGGACCAAGGAAAAATAGTTATTCTTTATTGGTGAAGCATCGTGGACGGGTATTCTTGTTTAAATCGCGGACCGCGGGGACTGTAGGTGAAAAATGAAGGAGAAAGCTTAGAGCAGCAGCAGCCCATCCCTGTAGCCTCAGGTTTACCGACATCACCCGAGGGAGTTCACGCCCAACCTTTCTGCCGGGAAGAAGAGCCGCGGCTCTTCCCTGCGAAAGCGCCCAGGAAACACGCCCCCAGGGATCAGCCCCACCACCCACCCCGGCCCGCATTTAGGCCCCACTCGCCCCTCCTCGAGAGACACCTTGTAGGCGCCGTAGTTGCTCTCGGGGTCGTTCAGCGGGACTCGTCGCTCGTCCACGAAGGCCAGGAGCCACCGGGCAGGGCAGGCAGCGGCCGCGGGCAGCTCCTGGGCCAAGATCCGCACTAGGCTTCCACCTGACAGGCCCAGGGAGAAGCGCCCACCCGGCCCGGAATGAACTTCCCGCTGGGCTATCAGCTGGGCCAGCGCCGAGCCCAGCTCCTGCGGGGAAGGGAAGACGGAGATTTGGGGGGGCGGCGACGCTGCAGCGGCCGGGCTGCGCCGTGGCACCGAAGAGCCGGGCATGGCGAGTGGAGTGAGGAAGCAGCTGAGAGGAGGAACGAAAAAACCCGGCAGCGAAGCCGAGAGGGACCCATGGTGAGAAGGCGAGCAAGCCCGGGCGGAAGTGGCAACAGTCGTCAACGGCACACGGGCGGAAGAAAAGGAAGCTCTCGTCGTGAGAGGAGGAGTTAAAGGGCACAAGCGGCGGAAACATATGCAAGAAGCTACCGGAAGGCGGTGAAGGCAGCTCTCCCCCGTATTTATTGGCACGTGGAATTCTGATAGTACTGCAGAGAGAGCACGAAGATAGAACTTACTGTGGACTAAAAGCCTTTCTTATGGATGTATTATGAAATGAAAAAGTGGACTAAAGTTGGGGCCCTACTGGAATTCCTTTGATTTTATCTCCATTAGAGATCTAATATGGAACGGGCGACCAGCCTCTCCCAGGGCTCTAAACCAGCCAGAGCAACTGCATGGCGCATTTGTGGGCAAACCCAAGTCCTCTCCTTGTCCGGAGAGGAGTTACGAACAGCCGGTCCACCGCGGACGCAGAGCCGTGTTCGGTTCGCCATTTCTACCCCGGAAGTCCCCTGCTTCAGCTTTCCTGACATCCGTGTAAGGTAGATAATGCTGAGAGGTGGCCCAAAAGTGGGCTTGAACCTAGGTCGGGCCACTTTTACTGGCCAACATCTTAACCACTGCACCAGACTGAATGTCCTGGAACTGCTAGGAGGGTTTCCTTATTTTATTCTAATTTGATAATTTTCAGATCTTTGGCTAATAGGGTCTAATAAAACATCAGCATTTTCCAAGTATTGTCAGATTACTTTTGGCATTGATTATTCAAAATCAAAATTGCACCAGGGCTGTGCTGTGAAGGAGCCAGCTGATCACATTCTTTGGGGTTGTCTTATGATATATGGCTTTAAACTCAGAGACTGCCTGAATTAAGTATTAGAGTCCCTTCATTAGGAACAATTTATCATGACAAGAAATATTAGGGTATGATTTTAAGGCTCTATTAGAACTTTCTATATCTTCTGAAATTTATCATATTTCAGCCTAGTGTGTTGTTAAAGCTTAGCTTCTGTCATCTGTTTATGGTTCAGGATATTGGTGAAATCCAGAAAATTGGGTTCAGTAATCTATGGTTCACTTAATCATGGGCAAATGGGCAGTGTATATAGCCTGTGTTTGAAACAGCAGTTCCATAATAACAGCCTCATCAGGCAGCACAGGAAATTCAGGGTGACTTTGATCAGAAGCTCACATCCTGAACAAGCAAGCTCAGCTTACTGCAAAACCACTCATATTGAGGCGAAATGCAGATTGCCTATGCCATTTTATGATACTTTTTGTTTAGTTTAATACTTTCCCTCCAGTTAACACATTTCAGAGACTGGATATTGCTGTACTACTCAGACTGAATAAGGAACATGTAAATACCCTGAAAAAAAGGAAAACAAGTCCCAAAGCAAAGCAGATACATTTTGGAGAAACACTATGTTGAGAAGGATGGGAGAGAAGAGTTTTAAAACTCTACAGTTATACAGAATCCTATACATAAGCATATACACTGGGGTGGGCAACTAGCAACTCCTCTGTTCTTGTGGCCCTCCGAACCCCCTCTAGCCAGGATTGATGAAAACTTAGGTGTGGTTCTGGCTACCAAAATGCTGCCTACCTTGGTATACACAAGCTTTTTCATTTTTTTCACCCACACAGATTTACCTTGTTACCAATTTCAGTCATCTCCCCCAACTAAGTTTATACTGCTACCTCTTTGCCCTTAAGATAAACACTATGGGGGGGGGGGTTATGGTCTTTAAGGCATTGTAAATTAATTGTGCTCCATTCAAACAATGTTAGAACCAGACTAACAAAGTAATTGAGATCAGTGGGACTTGAGCAGCTCAGAAAAATGCAACATCATTTCAATAAAATCAGTCTCTTGAGGGAAGACTAGATCCAGTTTGACAGAAGAGTGACATGTTTTGCAAAGGTACGGTTTGCATTACAGTCGTGTCTATTTTTATTTGGAAGCAAGGCTTGCTGATTCCAAGAAAGTTCGCTTCCAAGAACTGGAGGCTATTTAGCTACCAACCAAGAGCTTCTGAAGTAGATATGAAGTCTGACCCTGAAGCTGTGATGTTTGCTTTGTGTCAATCCATTGTATATTTCTTACAGCAAAAGATTAACTCAGAGATGAACATCTGGCCCTTGGAAGTATAGCTCCCAGCATCTCTCACCATGGACTGTGCTGGCTAGAAAACAGGAGATGTTGAGGGTGCAGCAGTATCTTGCCCTTCCCTGTATTGATGAGCTATTGTATAGCTTGAGGTAAATCTTTTAGCAAAATTATATTTTTGTGCAGACTAGGGAGACATAAGAACTATGCTGAGTGGTGACTTTTTTGCTTGGCTGGTACTATCTATCAGATTAGTAAAGTTGCCAGAACAGATAACAGACACTGGAAAATGAAATGACAAACATACTGAACATTTTCATTAAGAGAGTAAGCATGCATATAACTCAGAAAGAAACTAAGATGTTCTTTTAAGGTTCTTTATTCTTATAATGTTTTTCTCAAATCAATGTTATATTTTGACAATAGTGACGGCAATAAAAAATGTAACATTGCTTCAAAAAAATTCAGTTAGACAATGCATGATTTTCTTCAAACCAGGAGCTAAATTAGTTTTGTTTTTTAAACAAACCTTTTCCTCCAGATGAAATTCAGTTAGCTGAAGGCATGTTTGTTTATCCAAGAACTAATACATCTTATGTTTATAAGAAAATTGTTAACTTGTTTCAGCTGGTTCTGAAGAGAAGTTAGAAAAGGCACATTCTGGGTCTAATAATTAAAAAAGGGAAACAAATCACTCCCCTGGTTTCTGAACTGTTATTTAACAATTGCCTTGGTAGTACAGTACTTTTTGTACTCAACAGTACAAAATAACATTGTTCTGTACATGTCTTTGTAAAATACTCTTAGATCAAATTCCACTTCTGCCAAAGAGAAAAAAAATCCTCAAGAAAAATTATTTTGATCTTAAGTGATTCGGGGTACCTGAAACATTTAATTCACAAGAATATCTTAGGCTAGAAGTATGTACATTGGCAGCAGAATATTTCCATCCATATCACTGTGATCCCAAGAATTACAGCATCTTTGAACAGGCAGGCAGTCAATATTCACAGCAGTCAATTTGTATCGTCTTTGTATAAATTCTTAGTGCCATCTACCAAAATGGCACGAATGAAAAGAAGCAAAGTTAGGAATGTCCAAATCAGATATTGTGATCAGTATGAGAAATGTGTTGCAAACTGTCTTCAATGAACTTACATGCTTCCTATGTTGATCGCAAGAAATCAGCAAGACCAAAGACTGAACAGCATCACAAGTCCACTTGTTTCAGGGTTAACAGAACCGTTTTTCAAGATTCTGGAGCAGCCAAAAAAATTTTTTTTAAATATCCCATTTGTGGCCTAAAAACTGCCATTTGTGCCATGATGTTTTAAAGTAGATTAACAGAATATTGATCAATTATTTTCCCAGATGGGTGTAACAGCCAACTGAGATCCTGTAGGTAAGTGGAATTTGAAGTACCACAATACCCTTCAAAAAGAGCATTAAAAGAACATTTCAAGCAGAGTTTCCTAACCAACTTAATTTCATTATATATATATAATGAATATATATATACCTTTTTAAATAATAATACTTATTTCATCTTATTAGTCCTGTTTCTGTTTTTCCATTCAAGGCCAAGTTTCTACAGATAAACTTTGTTGCATTTTGACAGTCAGTTCCTTAAAGCTACAAATAAAGCTACAAAGGGACAATGGGAGGAACTCTAAATTTGTAAGTTAGGAACCTGGAAAGTCTAAAGTCTAAAGCAATTGAAGGCTTTATCCCAAAAAAATATTCTCTGCTTTAACACAGTAAAACATAGCCAAGTAATACAGAAGAAATAATTTGACCAGCACTGCTGCAACAGGTTCAAACCCTTCCTGCTTTCGTATGGAATCCCCTAACACAATGGTTATAAGGAAGAAAAGGCCTTTTTAAAAACTGAACAATACAAAAAGAGCTATTCTCTTTGCTCTGGAAGTGGTTAATGTGCTTTTTTTAAAAAAAAGGGGGGGGAACCATCTTGTTCTCACACTATAGTGGGATTTTTCCCTTTTGCATATTAAAACCTTGCTTTGCTTATTTATTCAAGTCTATTTCTCTACCAAAACAAGACCTTTCAACATCAGGCTCTTTATGAGCAGTCTCACCAATGAAATCAAAGAGACATTTTTCCAGCTTGGATCCTTTCAAAAACACACTCATCTACTGGTAGGTACTTGCCAAGTTTTACATCCAAAAAGTATAACCGATCTGACATTTGGTGTGGATTGTAGCCTTCTCTTTGTAAACGGGTCTTCTGAATTTTGAAAGTGCCTATTGGAAAAAGCAAGAAAATGGAAACAGACCGTGGGCGATTGCAGGCAAAAGGCAAGGCGAGGAGTAGCCCTTAGGAATTCAAAGACAATGATCAGATCAAAGGTGTTTTATTTTGAAAAACAGGGCAATACGTCATTAAAACATATCACTGTAAATTCCAATCACAACTCAAAACTGAGCAAAATTCAGAGGAAAATTATTTCTGTGAGATAAGAATGATCATCTCCTGACAAAGGATTTTTTCCTGTTAAGAAGAGAAATAAAAAAGGGGGATCAGGAAAAGGAGGAGATGAAATGAACATCTCCAATGCAAAATGCAGTGCTCGTTATTTTGCCATTACAACTGAAAAACACTGGTTTGGACTATGAAACAGGCACATAACCAGACTTACAAAGAAGCTAGTGTGTATTTGATTGGGAAACTCAATCTCATACATACAAATGTTGTTTTTTTAATGCTTCTTTAAAAAAAACCCTGTCTGCTTATAGATAGTTACCTTAGCAAAGAAAGGAAGGCAACATCTCCTGTCATGTTTGTTTAGACTGCACAAAGTTATTTGTTAGAAACTGGGAAGATAACTTAAAACTCACTGGTGGGCCTCCTCTTCCAAGAGATCCCCAATAAAAGAGAATTATGACATGCTGCCATCACTCAGAGCTTTCATAACCTTGTCTGTCTAGCTGGGGAATTCTTTGCCCTGCTCCCTTCATCCCAGCTCTCTGAAGACAGAAAGTGCTTTGGATCTTCTTGCCCAAAGCCCAGAACAACAAACCTTATGTCAATTCACAATCACAACAGGTAGCTATGTAAGTGCATGATCTTCCGTGTGGAGAAGATTTTACAATTCCTTGGGGAAAAAAAATTAGATCTCTGAGTTTACTAGGAAAAGGGGAACTCAGGAAAATGATATTCACATAGGGAGAGAATAGCTAAACCTATTCTTGAATGTCAGTGCATGTTCAGTATTCACTGCAGATCAGACAGTTGCAGAGGGATCATCTGGACCTCCTGCTTAAATGTTGTTAGACTGGCCCTCCTTTTTTTATTCACCTCTCTAAAGTACCGTCCTCAGTTTCAAAGAATGTGGAAGATAATTAAAAGGTAGCTTCTTTGTGGAGCCTATTGCTTTGTCCAAATCAAGGAAAATACTCCATCTCTGACGTCACCAGACTAGCTAGCAAAGCAGGAAATTATCTAGCTCTGAACACATGTTTCTGACTTCCTTTGAAGTTTACTTCAGTTAAAGACCAGTACAGAGGAAAGCAAACTGTTTAGAAGTAAAAGAGGAAGGTTGGACATAAAACACATGCTAAAAAGTAATACTAGTAGTAATAATATTCTATATTATCCTTTTATTGTGTGTTTTATATCCAAACTTACTCCTTTACTTCTAAACTTAGACACCTTTTTCAGTTTGTGTTACCTGTGGTGTCGACCTGTGGCAGAAATCGGAGGAAGACAGGCCGTGCATATGGAGGCAGTACTTTCTGCATCTCCAAAAACAGAACGTTAGGATTCAGTTTTGCTTCTGGGTCAGCAATAGCTGCCATTCCAGCCTTGCCTTCCACTCCTGAAATTTAAAAAGGAAGCAAGCAAAATTATCAAATCAAATCTTTATTACAATTATAGAGCAGCATAAAGCAAAATTATAAAGAAAGCCCATTCTAATATGTACATTTTAACAAAGAAGCCATTGGTAGCCAGCTAATCCACAGCTGGAGATCCAATCCAGATGTGCTCCCATCTCCACAGCAAAAGAGGGGCAAAAAGGAGCCTAGCTGCAGAGAATAAGCACTGGAGGAACTTTGCTTTTCCTTTTCTAAACAACTCTCTTCCAGCTCTCAATGGACCTATGACTGCAACAGGAAGACTCCTTTGCAGCAACCACATATCAGCTGGTTTCAACAGGCTGCAAATATTTATTGCAGCTTGTTTCTTCACCCTACTTTTCCGACATCCCTTCCCTTTTGTATTCTCTAACCTAGGTTTTTAGGTGGTAAACCGCAGAAGATCCTGGGTCTTCCTTCCATTTGTGCATGGTACTTGTTCTCCATTAGCACTATGTACTGACATTCAATTAATGTGAATGAGACTCAGTGGCTAGAAAGTGGGATAAATCTGTTAAAAATAACTGTAGGTGTGTAAAATGTGGAGGATCAGGCAACAGCTGATCAACATTTTCTAACTGAAAGCAAAATTAATAGCCTGCTCATAAGTAAGCAACCACAGCCAACTACATCAATAACTCACCTTACTGTTCCCTCCCATGTGGAAGGGTGAAGCAGCTATTGCAAAACAAAACAAACCCCCTAGGCTGCTTTTTGCTCTAAAACCAAAAGTAGTAACTATTTGTTCAAAAAGGTGAGCTAAGACAGAGAAGACTCCCAAAGGAACAATAGGTCCTGGTTACACAGCAAAGTAAAGCTCGTTGCTATTAAACAGAGGAAGAGGTTCAACTTCTCATTCTGCTAATGATAATTTCCCCCCGTTTTACATCTGCCCAGACAGCTGCTTCTGCTCCAGTTTCAGAATGAATATCATTGAAAAATAATACATCTGTCATCATGGCAGTTTGCACCCCATTCATATGTATATAAAAATCTTGTCACTCTACTGCTCCACTGCAACTATTCTACTGCTCAAGAAAAGATTTTTTTCTCAGTCTTAACATCAATATAAATTAATGATTTTCAGGTGCTATTATATACGTATGTTTTGAGCTGCCCTTCTGTTGTGTTAGCTTGTTATACCTCCCATCTCTAATCCAAACAGCATCAACTGACTTTGAACTTGACAGACCTGCTCGTTGATTCAGGTTGCACTCCCGTGCTTTTAAATTCTAAATTACCTGGTACCTCTACCCCATAAACTGCCACGTCTGACTTGCTGAGAACACGGATGAGGATTCCCTCAACCTCTGTGGTGGAGACGTTCTCCCCGCGCCAACGGAATGTATCCCCACTGCGGTCTTTGAAGTACATATAGCCAAGCTCATCCATCACAAGGACATCTCCTGCAGGAGGACAGGATTTCAGTACGTATCAAGAAGCCCATGTCTCTACCAAACTGTATCTTCTAGTTGGCAGCTCAACAAATGAGGACTATAATACTATAAGCATATTGTTTCCCAAGTACCAATAGAACAAACATGCAAAAAAGGTTTGGCGAATGGGGGAGAAAGATCATCCACCCTATGCATAAACTATCTCTCAGGAATAATGGATAGAACCAAACCAAGAGGTTCCTTGGAGAAGGACAACCACCATCCATGCTGGAAACAAATTCTATTCAGCCCAAAGCAGAGCAAAAGCTTTGATAATTAAGCTTAGGCAATAAAAGTGTGTTTTATTTGCACTGCATTGTGCTTTTAAGCCATTGTCAACTCTGGCTGATAGAAGAACCGAATTTTAAGTTAAATTAAGTGAACAAACAATGTTGGAAGCACATACAAAGTACTGCTCCCCCAAATCATCATGCATAAGCAGCAGCAATTTTAGAATCATCATAGCACTAAGTGCTTTTTTATTCAAGAAATCCAGGTTCAGGTGTTATTTCTTGCTAAATGCTACCACAGGGATATGCTCAAGGAAGAATTTCAAATATTTAGTTCCTGAGGAATTTAGAGCAGGATTATCCATTTATTACAGTCAAAATTACAAAATTATCCTTCTAAGACAAAAATGGACCAAGACAACTACACGAAGAATACCTGAAAGGTAAACCTGGTCTCCTTTCTGGAAGACATTATATGCTATTTTCTTGTTAGTCGCATTCTCACTGACATAGCCATCAAATCTCCGCAAGGGGTCTTTTTGGTTTATCCTGCCCACAAGAAGTCCAGGTTCTCCTAAATGAAGGCAGAAGAATTCCAGAAGGAAAAATAATGAACATCTTCTGTGTTACAGCAGCTGTGGATATCTGGATGGATTTTGCATGTGTGCTATCATCTCTGGCATGACCTCTCACCAAAAGATTTAAACACAAATATTACTATTTTCTACCTTTCATCTAGCAGTTCTATAACTGATCTGGTCAAGTTTCCTATTGAATATTCATTTCATTTAAATTTGTCTCTTACTATCCCAACACATCTTTTAAGAGTCTTCTACAGCAACACTCTAGCTAAAAATTGCACGTTTTAAATAAATGCTGAATTTTTAAAAACATATAAAATGTTATTTGATTCCATTGTAAAATAGGGAAATCAAAAAGGATTGTGCATTTGTATTTTCAAACTCATTTTCCCTTAAATATATATTTCTAAAAAAAAAGTACTAAAAAGAAAATTATGGAGATTCAGATCAGGATCATCTGCTTCAAAATGCAGACCAGACAAAATTCTTGAATATCTGTAACATGAAAACCAAGGTACAAATGACAATTTACATAATCTGTCATTAGCTAGTTGTCTGCTACAGCTGAATACCTGGCAATGTGTCATAATCTTTCCTTTAGTATTTTTCTTAATTCACTTGCTTTGTATCACTTTCCCGTATGATACAGAATTTTCTCTAGCTACGCAGCCTGTCTTCTTTAGGCCACTCTTAAAACATTTTCTTTTTGGTTTTTCTTTTCTTTCAAGCATCAGTGATCAATTTTGTTCTTCCACAAGGTTCCATGTCACTTGCTTTACTTCATTTATGTATTTGTCCATCTACTTATGTGCTACGTTCCTACTATTCAGGTTGTGGAGGTAGTTTTAAAACATGCTTAAATATTGTTCATGGTGAATGGGCAAGGCTTGTACTCTAGAACAATGCTTCAGCATCTCCCCTCTTAATAATGGCATCTACAGATAGTCCTCACTTAACAACCACTTGTTCAGCAACCATTCAAAGTTACAACAGAACTGAACAAGTGGTACTTACAACCAGTCCTCATAGTTGTGGCTGTTGCAGTGTCCCTGCAGTCGCGTGATTGCAACCTAGGCACTTGGTGACTGGCTTGCAATTACAACGCCACAGCGTCCCGTGGTCAGGTGATCCCCATTTGCGACCTTCACTGCTGGCTTCCAACAAGCAAAGTCAATGGGGAACCCGGCAGGAGGTCACAAATGGTGACCATGTGACAGCATACTTGACAACAGCAAACAGAAGTGCAGGAACTGCCATCACTAAATGGCACAGTCATGTAATGTCACACTTTATGAACACATTGCTTAGTGACAGAAATTCTGGTGCCAATTACCGTTGATAAACAAGGACTACCTATATTTGCATTCTAGCCTAAGAAGTAGATCAAAGAGTAGCCTTTCCAATCCTGGAAATTCTCCTGCTCTTGATTAATTTGGGCACCAGACCCAGTAACTAACAATATTCAGGTCAGATATATTCCTGCAGCACAATGAGAACAATTGGCATTGTGTAGGAAACTGTTCTCCAAATTACAATTAAGGCATAAAGCATTCTCAGAATTATTTACCTGGTCGGCAGGAGATACAGAGCCCATTTGTGCCACGCATTAGCTCCATGGTATCCTCATTAACTTTCACCAAGCGGACAGGATACACATTTGGCAAAATCCGGCTATTGAAGCCACAGGCCCCCACCTGCCAAGAGTCAAAACAAAACTTGAAAGGAGTCCCTCCAAATGCTGCATAAATTTCTCTAAGCAGGTTATTAACTGTTAGGAAAATACTCTGTAAATTTCCAAGCTCTACATAATGGTGAGGTGTCACTTGAGGGGAACAAGCAAACAAAAAGGAAAGTGAAGAACAAGGAAAAGAAGTTAGCCTGCTCAGGCTTCTGGCAATTTGTATTTAGAATCCAGGAATGGGATGCAAATTCGAAAGAGAGCAGAACAACACGGAATTCAAAACAGCAAATCTTGTCTTCCTTGTATTATATAGGGATGTTTGGGAAAGGCAAAAAAGGTTACTTTGTTTCTTATTTTCTATGAACCAATAAAACATGCAGATTAAACTCTCTAGTGCTACACAGCACAGCAGAGGAAAGCCTTGAGGCTTGGAGAAAAAAAATGGTCTCCATGGTTCCTGGGCTCCTAATCAGGAACATTCCTCTTAAGGGATGGAATACATTGCAACATGTTACTGCAACCCCAGTTTTTGCAGTCTGCAAATTAAACATAAGCACTGATAAAAAGCCTACAGTACTTTAATCTGCATTAAAAGAGAGAGAGGGAATGCTATTAACCCTGAACTGGCAACAAGCAGTACAGGATTAGGGTAATAAGTGAACCTGCCAAGAGTAGACAAATTGTTATCATATCTATAGTCACAGTGACCTTCTCTGTGAAGGGATTTTCCTACTAATCCAATCACTTCTTCAGTGACTTAATAAATCCAGCTGTCTCTCTTCATACAGTCACAGCACTGTAACATCTGACATCCAGCCAAGAACTCTAAAAGGGCAGGCTGTCTCACTGCAGATAGGTAGCTACGCAAAAAATGGTACATTCCCAGGCTGCAAAAGTCAAGTTGAGGAAGTCCATATGCTGCATATTCTCAGAACACTGCCCCATCCTTACATGAAGATAAGAGTTTGGTCAAAAAATAAATTATCGAAAGTGTAGAAAGACAGCCTCTCAATTTACCTTTCCATCTATATTAGCAATGCTGCAATTACACTCGGTAGCCCCATAAAACTCCCCAATCTGTTTAATCTGGAACCGCTGTGTGAAGTCTTCCCAAATGGCAAGCCTCAAGCCATTTCCAATAGCCAGCCGCACCTGGTGCTGCATTTCTGCCTCCCGCACCGGTTGGTTCAGCAGGTACCTGCAAATCTCCCCAATGTATTGGATGATCTTTGAAAAGCAAGGAAGACATAATTTGAAAGAGTAACCTGGCAAAGGCCTGAGGAAATTGGATAATAATACAACATATTTAAGGTACATTGCATCTTGATCCAGTATGCTTAAGGTAGCATTTTCCTGACTTAAAATGAAAAAGTAATTGAGTTTCCAAAATCTGTCAGGCATATTCTGTTTATAGAGCTGAAGTATATAATTAGAGTATTTAGAAAAATTTAAAATGTGATTAATCAGAAGCACTGAAACCAGTGTCTTAGAAACAGGACAGAATGCTTTTTCTGAGACAGAATTTGTTGATACATCAATGTATCATTTAAACAAATATTTTCTTTTACAAAGTAAATTTCTGTTCATATATAGATAACTAATGAAAAATAACATGGTTGACTATAGATTCATAAAAAATTAATAATATTGTGCTATTGCTACCAAGGTTTGCATTCTCCATCTGAAACCCACAACAGTATAATCACAAGTTGATTGGGGTGCCTGGAAGACTTTTTTTAAAATGCTTTTTACTGTTTTATTGCTGTCTGTGAGCTGCCTGGGGTTATGCTATGTAAGATGGGCAGCTATACAAATACTTTAAACAAACAAATAAATAAATAAAACACACATTAGCTGAACTATAAAAAGCATTACTAGTCTTGTCTTCCTACAACTGGCAATACAGTGTTGGACCCCAGCAAATGGAAGACTTCCTAACTCTTCCAAACTGCAAGAAATGTTTCCTGCTTCTTACTTAAAGGCAATCTTTAACACCACATCAGACAAAGGAAACTGCTCAAAAACAGCCCATTCTTTAATACAAGCTCTCTTCGTTTACTGGACTATTACCAAAAAAAAAAAGCATGGTATTGTAGCCTTAAATTTGGCAATTCACACAGAAAAAGTAAAGCCCAGTTTTAAAGTACTAGAATAGAGGTTACCATTAGTTCTTGTTTCAGGCCTCAAAGCACAAGAAAGGAGAAGTCAGTTTGCCCTGAAGAGTGCCATGCAAGACCTGAGAAGGAGCAAATCGACTTTCTCACTTATTAAGCCCATGCTATTCAAAATGGCCACACTTGTGCAAGGAGGGCTCAGAAAAATCAAGGGATTCCCTATCAGAATCTTCCTTTGCAAAGAAGAAAGTAAGCTCTGAGCAGATCTGCAGATTGAAGTGTACTACCAAGACAACAACAACAACAACAAAAGCTTAATGACATCTAGCCAGGAAAGGCAGGTAGAAAGTGAAGAGGTGATCTCTGAGTGTTGTGATGTTGGTGGTGTCTCAGATGTCAGTTGATCTGATCCTGGGCCATAATCAACTGAGATTCTGGACCTCTAACTCTGCCACTGAGATGTCCTGGACTGGTCATTAATTTGTTTTTGCAGCAGCTGCATTTAATACATAGATTTAACAGCATTTAAATGATTCCTGGTTATGCCTCAATTCCACTTCATGCAGATATCCAGGCAAAAAAGTAACAGTAGCAATCCATGTGATTTAATGATTCAATAGTGATTGCCCATCCATGCAGTATTGCTTCTAGCCTTTCTAAATCTGGCTGACAACCAATTGGCAAGAAGCTGGGCAAATGTCGCTTTTGGGGGTATCCTTACTAAAGTGTTGTGTTGAATTGTAAGCAAGATATGAAGCAGCGATGAACTTTCAGGCTGAATGGCTGTGGTCTAGTTTTCTTTTGCCCTGACATTTCGCCAGCAGCTGTGGCTGGTCAGGACAAAAGAAAACTAGACCACGGCCATTCAGCCTGAAAGCTCATCGCTGCTTCATTGATGCGAGCCATGAAAGCCTGCACCAGTATATCGTAAGCAAGGTAATTTCTCAATTTGCCCTCATCCATTACCACTGCCTCTTCTTGTTTTTCCTTTTTCTTTTTAATGCATAGCTGTCTTGCCAAGTAGCCTTCCCCAAGCTGCATTTGCTCCCACCTACTACTAATTGTGGTGCCTACAAGCAGAGTTCAGGGCTCTCCTTACTGTACACTTGTATTTCACACAGTCATCCCAGAAGCGACTGGCAGAAAATTTCTTCCTAATCACTACCGTCAGGCCATGAATCACACACTGGCCAACACCCATGATATTCCCTAAGAGACAGAAAGAAAAAGACTGTCAGCAGGGTAGGCTTGCCAGGAACCCTGGGGAACAATAGCAGAGTGCCCCTGGTAATGTCCAAGCCAACTTCTATCCTAAAACATATGGCCACAATGCCAGCCTACCTGCTGAGTGGTACAGTGGCAGACAGTCATAGATTATGTCATGAGGGGTCATTCTGTAGGCATAATAACCAAAAGCAGCAATTCGATAATACCTACAATGAAAGAAAAAACAGGTATCAATGTAAGCCATAGAGTTCCACCTAACTGCTACTAGATAACACAAAGATGTGTGAAAAATTTCCCAGGACAGTTTCAGCTTGCAGAAAACCAATGATAGAAACGCTGGCATGCAGCACAACTGTACACAGAGTGGTCAGTTGGCACCTAGATTGCAGCGCATGGATACATCTCAAGATATACATGAGAAATTACAGGCAGTCCTGGCATAACAACGGTAACTGGGACTGAAATTTCTGTCACCAGGTGATGGGTAGTAAAGCATAATGTCACGTGGCTTCATTGCTTAGCAGTGGCAATTCTGGGAGTTCCTGTTGCCGTCATTAAGCGAGGATCATGGGTCGTTAAGCAAGGACCTCACGTGACTGGGACTTGTGACTTCCTGCCAGCTTCCAACAAGCAAAGTCGATGGGGAACTGAGCAGGAAGTTGCAAGTCCCGGTCACAACAAGCCTTTCCTTAGGCAACTTGCAAGCAGGCCAGTGGGTGGGTGAGTGCTACAGAGTGCTGCTGGGCAGGGGAGGGGGTGCTGTGATGCGGCAATGCCTAGTGTTGGGGGCAGGCAGTGCAGTACAAGTGTGGCCAGGCAAGCGGCTGCCTGCCCGTCCAGGGCCCACACTCGCCCTGCCACCCAGGGGTTCCATGGGAGAAAAAGCGGTAGAAGAGGGAGCGATTTACGACCTTCCCTGCTGGCTTCCCCATTAACTTTGCTTGTGGGAAGCCAGCAGGAAAGGTTGCAAATGAAGATCACATGACCACGGGATGCTGCAACGGTCATAAGTGTGAGCCAGTTGCCAAGTTCCTGAATCACGATCATGTGACTGTGGGGATGCTGGGATGGCTGCAACTTCAAGGACTGGCTGTAAGTACCACTCATTTCAGCACCATTGTAATTTTGAATTGCTGCTGAATGAGTGGTTGCTAACTGAGGACTACCTGTACACTCAATTACTTTACATGGAGACTATGAGAAGATTATTTTAGCCCCCAAGTGGTCCAAACTGATTGTGGGGAGGTGGAGGGAAAAGATTTTTTTTAAGTGCCCTTTTCCAATAAGTAAAATTCTCAAATTTTTAGTTACTTAAGTCCTCTAGCTCTTTGTCACTTTAACTCTTCATCTACTTACTTTGCTACTATTGTTCAGTTAGCTCTGTAGAGCTTATCTGTTTTTCTCTGGGTAAAGAAATACAGACCACAGCCAGATCTTGTGAACAGAACAAAGGTCTCTATCAAGCTTCTTTCCCAATGCCTACAGTACAACTGCAGCTCTTCCCTGCATCCTCCAGTGTCCTCCACCATGAGAGAATTATTTTTATTACATTTGTATTTTGCTTTCCTTCAGGAGCTCCTGGCTGCATATTAGGGCTATGCATCCTTCAAAAATGATTAGGAAAATTAGATCTTGTGTGAACATGGCATCTCTACTATTCATTAAAGCTGTTTCTCCTTTTTTTTTAGGCCTTTGCAGTTGATTTAAGGAGTCCGTTCATTATTATAACTCTCAAAGCAGCCACACCATTTTTAAAGTCTGTGCAGAAGCTCATGGAAAAAAAAGGGAGGGGACTGCAGCATGAATGGATAGCAGAGAGGTGATGTGCTCATGCTTATGTGAGGTTCAAAATATTCCTTTAAAATCATTTTTGAAGTATGCATAGGCCTGCTGAATGTATGATCCTTGCCACTTGTTCTATCCTCTTAACAACCTGTGAAGTAGGTTAGGCTAAGAAACAGCAATTCTCCCAATGGGCCATAACTAAGCGGGGATTTGAATCTGGGTCTCCTAGAAGTAATCTAATGCTTTAACCACTACACTGTCTGACCACATTTGAGGTCAGAGTCCTGATGAACAGAATCTACTGCAAAGAGGTTATTTTGGGGGAACTATTAGCTCCATTAGGTAGGCCAGACCAGGAAATGAACTCCACAGGAAGGCTAAAACTACCTTTACTGAGATAGGCTATAATAACAGAATCTTGCATGTCTGATTATGCTGTACCTCCTCCCTTGTATATTCCAGTGAATCAGGGAGGCCACTTCCAAATATTAGCTTGCTTCAAACCTTTTTGCTTAAATAACAGTTCTTGCATATTTCCATCAAGGCCATCTTCTTCACTCTCTGCAGAAACAAAATTGTAGTACCAGGGGCATCTGCAGGTGTGTGTATGTGTCTGCACCCAAAAGGGCAAGATGGCAGGCGAGACCATGCCATCAAAGCTCTCCCCCTTTGTACTTATGTGCAATGTCAAGGGGCAAGGCTTCAGTCACAGGGCTCCGTCCATCATCTTGACCTTTTGCCTCCCCCACCCCACAAACCCCTTGCTTGGTACTGTACTTCCTATGTCCTATGTATGATGAAATGCAGGGGGAGAGAGTTTACTGAAGATCTCTATATGATTAGCCATAGTGTGCAATCTCATATAAGAAGGAAGGGAGGAGATGCTGCAAATATTTCCAATTATCTTTTTAAGCATCCTTGCTGCAGCAGACCAAACATAAGCTTGGGCTGCGAATCTCTCCCTCTCTTGCAAGAAACAAAAGAGGAAATAGCATGTCTTCCTCCTATAGGACAAGTGCACACACCCCAGCGCCTCCTTCATTTGTGTGCATAATAAAAATCTCCAGAAATAAAAATATTAGATACTGACAGGTAACAACCAAGGCCAGGTGCAGTGATGTTCCTCACCTACTGTGCACCACAATGGCAGCTTTTGGCATTCCAGTTGTTCCAGAGGTGTAGATGTAGAACAGCCGATCTAGGAAGACAGCACAGCAGTGAGGCATGAGTTTGAGCTCAGCTTCTCTTTGCTACTTCTACTTGGCAAGCTACCCATCTCAGAGAGACAGCTGCTTCAAGTGCAGAGCACAGATCCAAAAGCAAAGAGGTTAGCAAATCTCCACTGAAATAGCTCATAGCCCAGGTTTTCAGAGCCTGTTTTGCTCATCTGAACCAAGTACACAGCCTTAAGGGCGCAATTATTTTTCCTCCACTTCTCTATGGAACTAGACCAGGACAACTAGTAACATGAATCCAGAGGAAAGGTCACATAAAAACCTCTCCCTGCAGCACACCTCATCATGAGGAGCGGGAAAAGGAACTGCCAACACCCTACTAGGCCCTTTCTCTCTTCACCAGAGAAAGGCATGTGTTTGCAAGGAAACATACCATCTAATCCCTTGGTTGAAACATGAGTTGGAGGAGATTTTGATGTCTGAGCCAGCAGAGGGTCCAAGTGTTTAGTATCTGGAGGGCAGGATTCAGGTCTAAAATCTCCAGAACAGAACCTGGCCATATTTTTTCCCAGGATGCCATTCACTTCAGAAATTTCTGCAACACAAAATCAGTCCTTATTATCAAAATTTTTAAATAGCTGGTGCCCACTTCTAGAAATGTTAAAAAAAAAATCAGTAACAATATTCAAATTATGCTAACTGCTTGCAAATTATATCCTCTCCTGCAATACCTTACCAACATACCAAACACTGCCATATCCTGAAGAGTTTTGTCTTTTTAAAAATGGGGTATTCTTGCTACTCTCTTCCAGGGTGGAGGCAAACTGTTTTTGAAAAACAAAAATTACAACTATTTCTATTCTTCCACATGCAGATTAAGATAGCAGTTCTTTATATGGCTAATATTATATAAGAGTATTGAATGTTATAGTTCTGTTTTAGCTACTATTTCTATTGCATACTTCTTTATATTAAGCAACACTTTTTAAGTGTAAACTTCTTAACATAATACGGTATCAGCAATAAAAACTGAAACAATTGTCACCCCACTCCTTTTTTCAAGCAGTGCAAGGACACATATCACTCTAATAAGGGTCTAAAGTCCCATACAGGTTTGTGTGGAAAGAGGCTGTTTTATATTCTTACTAAAATCCATAATGCCTTTACCCAAAAAAACACACAATGATGTAGGGAAGAAGAAATTAGGAGATACATTACAGCCCTGAGGACTACAGTCCAAATCCAACTGAAAGTGAATTTAGAGACTGAATGCATTGTGGGAGATGTTACTGGAATCAAGATATACCTTGCATATACCCTGGCTATGTGATCAGGCCTGGGGCTCCCAGGGGACTGGAGAGATTCTGCAATGGCTCCCTTATTAATTTTATCCCCCTCCTGTTTTGTGTGCTTTTACAGTTTTTTATTTGTAATTGTTTTTATGTATTTATTCATTGCTGTACGCAACCCAGAGTCACTTTGTGTGAGATGGGCAGCTATATAAATATGATAAATAAGTAAATAAATTCTGGGACACATGAAATGGCTGTATTCCTTCCCCCATTAGTTCCCATTTTTTTTACAATAGTTGAAACTCAAACACATGGCCTCATTTTTTTGGTTTTATTTTTTCTTCCCTAATCTTTTTTCCTCCTAGGGACTAACATGGCAATGGTTTTTTTTTTTTTCATATTTACTGTTTTTATTTCTTTGCTATATCTTGCTATGATAAATCTAGTCTTCCCTTATCTTTTGCTATTTTTGAACAGAGTATGTCTGATATAGCCAAATCAAAAAGTCTGAATTTCCCTTCCTAAAATTGTCCCCCACTTTAGTAGAAATCCCTCCTTGGAGAAATTATTACCAAAGAGAAAAGACCCAACCTTGCTGTAGAGTCTCAGAGAATCTCCTCGGAGTATCCTCAAAGGTTTAGGTTAGCTACCATGTTTCATTCTTAAAGACAACTGATCTTTCATTTAAAAAATCTGTGGTTTTCTGTGATAATTATACTGAACAAGAAAGCGGCACTGATTTAGTCCTTTTGCCTAGTCTGCTTAGTCATCTTATTCATGTGCCACGCTATAGGCTACATATTTACCTGTTTTTTAATTAGCGTAAAGGAAGGCTTTGGAAAAGGACAGCCTACTCTACTTCCTAGAAGCAAGCCACAGATTCAGAAAATCATCCACCTAAATGGAATGTTAATAATTACTACTTATCAAAAAAGTAATGAGAGGTAACTATAAATATATAACAAAGGGCATCTGGCAACTTTTCCCTATCTTAAAGGATTAGAGATACGGATCCCATTTATCACAATGACATCAGATATATCATACTGAAAATCTTCCAAGAAAATAAATACAGTATATTAATAATACAGAGTGTTTATCTGTGCTGGGAGAGGCAGTTTGGTGTAGTAGTTAAGGCACCGGACTAGAAACTGGGGAGACTGTGAGTTCTAGTCCTGCCTTAGGCATAAAACCAGCCTGGGCTAGTCCCTCTCTCTCAGCCCTAGGAAGGAGGCAAGGGCAAACCACTTCTGAAATAATGCCAAGAGAACTGCAGGGACTTGTCCAGGCATTTGCCAGGAGTCAAGATTGACACAAAGGCGTATACGTGCACACACCCCCCCCAACACCCTCTGTGAATTGTATTCTGGGGAGCAGAGTGGGAAACTGATGCCCAAGATCTTAGCATGCAGCAACCTGTCTCCCACTTGCTTCACTGTAGGCATCATTCACACAGAATGATGTAGAATTTCTCCCCTTTCTTATGCTATATATGTGAGCATGTCAGCATTGCTTGAAATGAATATTTCATGATTAATTCCCCAATTCAGTCTTATGTCAAATACAAAGAAGTAGTTCAGTTTGGCAAACAGGCATTTCTTCTGAAGAAATTAATTGCGTTCTGTTCACCACACTAGGGTTTCAACACAAGGATGAAAGTAGTGGTGATTAGGAGGTTAAACCCAAATCTACCCATATCATACCTGCTGATAGCTCTCCACCAAAGATGATGGCTTTTGCCCCTGAGGTTTTCACACAGTAAGTCAGTGACTCAAGACGCAAGTTGAAGTTGATGAGAGCTGCCTCAATACCCACTTTGGCCATCCCTAACCAGAAGCCCACAAACTCTGGTCGGTTCTCCATAAAGATAGCGATTACATCACCCGCACGAAAGCCCTGCTGGTAAAAGAAGTTGGCCACAGAATTGGAATATTCATCCAGTTGCCGGAATGTCCATTTGTCATCAGTAGCTTCATAAATCAAGGCCACTTTGTCTGGATGTTTGCAGACTACCTTCTGGAATATCTTGGGGACGTTACTTTTGGCTTTCCTGTGACCATACAGTTCATATTTGACCTGTATAAGCACTGTCAGTCCCCTGAAAAAGGAATAAGGAAGTCTTAATTATTATAGTACAGAACTTAGTATTTTCAATTCTCTGAGGAATGGATGCAATGCGTGAGACTTCTGCTCGGTCAGATCCTCATCCATCCTGACAAAGAATCCAATTCTATATAATTATGTCAACACCTCTTATACTGTATCAGGCCTACAATCACATTCATGCCAAAGCTATTACAATGATGTATCTAGGCAATCCCCCAAAAGAATTGTCTATAAATTTTTTATAGTTTTATTCTAAAACTATAAAATTTTATTCTAGTTTTATTTTACTTCACCAGCCTTGAAAGGGGGAAAGGAGCTCAACAGCCTATCCAAACACTAATTTAGTCATCCATTACTACACAGTTTCAAACTCTGCAATACTGAAATATTGTGGTAATCAAAAGGACTCAAAACTAGCTTTAAAGAAGGGAAATCAAGATGCTCAGGATGTAATGCAAAATTCACATTCCTCAAATCAAGTCAAGTTCATTTCTAAATGGATGGATTAATCACTGTGTTTTGAAAATATTTGAGGGTGAAGTCAGGGGTTTAAAACAAAAGAATGCTAACTGCTTGCCATTTGGGAAAATCTTTCTGTGATGAAATAAAATACCTGTCACAATTAGGAAGGTGGCACCTACAAATAGATAGATAGGAAGGAGCAGAAACAAGTTTGTTTATTTCAGTTTATATAGTCACCCATCTCACATCTGTGACTCTGGGCAGCTTCCAATTAAAACATAAACAATGCCAAAAAAACAAAAAAAACCCAACCATACAAACAGTAGAAAACCTTAAAAACAATTAAAAACCTTACAATATAATCACAAGGAGAGCACAGTAATTCAAGAACCGTACAGCCATTTTATGGGCTCCACACTACTCTCTCTGATCCCCAGGTCAGATAGCAAAGCCACAACTTCAGGCCCTTCTAGAAGGTCATCAAGGTCAGGGCCAGCCTGACATCAGGGGGAACTATGTTCCGTAAGGCAGCTGCAGTGGCAGAAAATACCCTGGGTCCCATCAGATTACATTCTGTAGTGGACTGAATCCACAACAAGCGTCTTCTGCTGGACTTGATGGGATGGGTAAATGTCACTGGGGAGAGGCAGTCCCTCAAATAATCCAGCCCCATGCCATGTAGGTCTGAAAGTCAAAACCACTTTAATTTTTTAATCAGAGAAAGAAAATATAGGGAGAATCTTGCTGATTTTAGTAGATAAAACTGAGTTAGCTGAAACAGTTGTTATTTGGGGAGGGGGCAAAGCACAGACAGCAGCTATACTATTTGTTTAGAGGAGCACATCTGCTTCCACTATATTCTATTTATATAATTGTAAACAAAACACGTAAGGACAACATAAAGTCTCTGATGTTCTCTCATCTAAAGGAATTTAAATTCCAAACATTGCCACTGGAACTACTCTCAATATACATGACATAAATAGACAGACAAACATGTATGAGTTCCCAGATTTATCTCTGTTTATATAGCTCTGTACAGAATTAAGGATAGGGATAAAACAGTTCTTACATTAAGAACTCACTCCACAGCCTGTCTATCTCTTTCCTTCTCATAACAACTCAGAGCTATTTACATATAAAACCAAGAAATGAAAAAAAGAAGGAACCAGCACATTTCATTTGCATCCTTCAGTCTTAATTCACTGTTTTAAGCATTGCATTCAAGACTGTTTTCAACAATGGACCACTCAGTTATTCAAAGAAAAATAACTTAAAAAAGAGTCTTAAGCTGTTTGTGAGAATAAATGTGAAAAAAGGGTATAAGTAAAATGAGTTGCACAGAGCAGGCATCTGGGCTTGTTTTCTTATTTTTTTAAAAAAAATCCATCTGCAACAATAAACTAAGATTTTTAGAAAATGTTTTCACCAGCGTGCCTATAAATTCAGGATATGAGAATGAGTTTGTTAGTAGCCATTTAAACCTATTGTGTGGATCAACTTCGTGCCTGTAACCAGCCAATTATTGAGGTTGCCAGGTAGATTATGATCTCTGCATGCTATTACAAGCTGCCAATGCTACAGGTAGAAAAATCAGTAACTGGTAGGTGTTATTGGCCCCACTCTTTCTACTTGTTCCAGCTGACCTCATTTGGATCTGTTCCCTCCCACTTGCACCTATGTCTCAGTTTACTAATCAAACAAAGATTAGCTAAACAAAGATTCCACAGAAGATTTAGCACCAGTAGAGATAAATGACCTCTTAAAAAATCATACATCACTCCTGACTGTGAATATCCTAATTGGGCAGATGAGGAAAAAGAGACTGGTTTAGTAATAGGCTCTTGGCATTTTGCCCAGCAAGGCTGGCCTATCATAGTGACCCCAAGCTCTGCCAGGAAGGAAACAGAGGAGCCTTTTCAGGAATGAATTGCCCTTTCCATATTCTTAAGAGGCGCTTTATTCTCTGCTGTTATTTCTCATTTGCCATGCAACTGGGAGGAAGTAGAGATCCAGAGGCCACTGACAGTCACTATAATAAGCGAAGCAGCCTTTGTGAGAGCAGCAGTCCTAAATTTTAATAAGAAAGGGACCCTAAGGGGACATGCTAAAACTAGATGCTGAATTCGGTTACAGAGCAAGAGGAAAGTGAAGTGTTAGAGATACAAAAGATGTTGTGAAGCCCCAATTAAAAAAAAAAAAATCTGTGTAGAAATAGTGTGGAACCAATTTAAGTACACAATTTAGACACATAGATTTCATAAATTATTGCCAAATAGTAAAATCTTCTCCCATCTTGACACAGGCATACAGTTTCTGCAACATATAAATGAGGATTCTCTGTTACTGGCTGAGCATGAACTTCACATTATGAATGGTTACAAGATTCTTCCACTGTACACAAATCTGCAGAAAAACCAAAGGAAGAAGCAACTGGGGGTTGGTGGGTAGGGTATCTGCGTAACCTTTTCTTTCTATTTTTCCCTCCCAGAAAGAAAGCAGCTTGAGAATGGCAGATTTAAACATGACTTGGCTCATATATCACACTAAACTGTAATGCAGTTTACTTGATTCGTGTTCAGCATATTGCATCAACCCAGCATACATAACTTATTCAATAAATCATGACAATGTAAATCATGGCTTAATACAATGTGCAAATCCAGTCTAAACATGCCTTCTGCCCTTCAACCTTCAGTGGGTGCTTTTCCTTTAAAAAAATGCAAGACAACTCATTACGATAGGTATGGTCTGGGGATTGGCATTTTATTAATACTATTTATACTCTTTAAATGTGTGTTTCACACCACCATCCTGAGTCCTCAAGAACATTTCTCTTTAAGACGTGTATAAACATTACAGTATTTGGCTTCTGGAACAGGCTGGCAAATCTTCCACAGGCTGTTTTCTTACTCATTTTATACATATGAGATTTAATAAACAGAAAAAATGACTTGGAATACTATTGTTCCCAGCCTTCTTCTACTTAACATTGACAACAAAGGCTATTTACCATAAGCATCCATTTCTATGTATGGAGTTAAGAAATTCCACATTTGGGAGAGAAGTTGGGAGGAGAAGGCCAAAAGGATTTACAGTAGTATTTCAAAAGCGTAGTTATCAGGGCTCTTGGTCAGGGGAGAATTCACATCCTCATCCCATGAAAGGACTGAGGCTTATACAGATTTATTATCTGGGGCAACAAACATACAGTATTTTGATGAAAACAACAATCCTGATATTACAGTGCAAGAAGAAATTGTACTTACAGTAGATCTCTCAAGGCTGTCTTAAAGGCGATGCGGAGAAAGATCCACCCACCACTGCCAATATAAATGGCCAAAGCAGCTGCAATACTCCATGTCCAGGACACACCAAAGAACCGCATGAGGCCAAGTGAGCCAAGGGAAGCAGTACAAACCCCAATTGTGCGCATTCTAAAGAAAGAGATAAGCTTCTTGTAAGCTGCTAGGGTAATTTAATTGTAAAAGCAGTTAAAATAAACAGAAGATGATCCCAGGGAGATAGGGAAACTGGCCATATAATATAGATGGGACAAAGGTGAAAGGAGCAAATGATAGTGGCAGGCTAAACTATTGATTTATTTATTTGGTTTATATTCCACTTTCCTATAGAATCTCAAAGTAGCAGCCATAATACTCTTTCCTCCAATTTTACCCTAAAAATGATCCTATCAGAGAAGTTGGGCTGAGAGATAATAACTGGCCCAAAGTCACCCACTGAACTTCCATGGCTGAGTGGAGACTTGAACCTGGCCTTAGTCTAACATCCTTACCATATATCACAAGGTTTCTTTATCAAAGAGAACAAAAACTGCACAAATACCAAAATAAAGACTTTTCCAGGGAAAGTTGCACTACTGCAATGCATTGAACTACTAAGATTGTAGTTCCCATTAAAGATTGTCCAGAAAGTTTAACTGATGCTGTCCATTGTACTTTTTCAAAAATCGAATTATAGTTATTTAATGCTCGTGTCTTGAGGCAGAATTTTCTATGTGCTACCACAACTTTGGGAAATATCTCTTCCTCCCCACCTTGAGTGTAGTATTGTTACGTATCCATGTTTATGTAACTGTGTAAAGCAAGGTGTGTGATAACAGCACATGAGTTTAAATAATACATTCTAAGGAGATATAAATAAAAATCAGTAATATAGTATGGAAATAGGAATAATGTGAGAAGAGGATATAAGGACACAAGTGACAGGATGGAACAAGGTGGAAGCAGTCCAATCTTTGCCTGAAACCAGTATTCTCCTACTCTTTCCTACTTTTCTTAATTGAAGTCAAAGGCCAAAGGTTTAATATATTTTCAAGCATTTTTCTGATCATACAGGGAAGCACTCACCTTTCCTTTTCTGCAGGGTTGGCTAGTGTAAGGCTTGCAAGATCTATTTCATTTTTTAACAATTGCAGACATATGCAAAACAATGCTCAGTTTGTTATATATATGCTAAAGGTTAAGGAACAGATACAATTGAGCACATGCTCAGCACAGAAATTCATGAATCTACCCACAAATGCTTTCATGAAGAAATCCACTCCTATTTTTTCCAAGCATTGTTTTTCAGCAATCTAGTCTGGATAGAAAATGCTTTTTAGTTGCAACCGTCACTAAGAGTTCAGCTCCAGTCAAAAAAGTAATTACTTTTTTCATCATTAAACAATTCAGAAATACTAGCCACTTAACTGCAAATTATCCAGAAATCAACCAGTATAACTTGCTTGACCATCTTTAAATTTTAATAACTAAATCTTTACAATGTCTCCGAAGTCGCACAGACTGATTTTGATTATACTCCCTAGTTTCAGCCTCAGAGTAATATGCAAAAGAGTCTGCATAAGCAGCAATAGAACTGAGATCTGGCTCATAGAAAATTTCACAACCAGATAGGGAAATATAATGTAATCAAATGCTGGTTTTAAGATTCAAACCCTAAAAGAAACTAGAGCCTATTTTATTTAAAGGAATGCCACAGACTGAGATCAACAAATTCCTCCACACAGCTCACATTTTGTGATCAGACAGATAACTGGATAAACAACCATCTTTACAGCCATGACTTTCTGTGAAATCCCTTTTGAGACAATTCTTTTGACAAATAATTTACCATGTGATTCTATCTGTTCTATGCAAAAGAAAGTTCCACTGAAATAAATATTTACTCCCAGGTAATTGAGTAAAAAATTGTAGTCACAAACTTCTATTTAAACAAGTTGACTATTGTCGTTTACTGCAAAACCCCTTGTTAAACTGCTAGGGAGGAAATGCATTTTTAAATAAAAGAAAATACATTCTGTAAGCCAAATCAGAAGAACTACAAGTTAGATAATTACAGTTGTATCACATAGTAAATACTAAGAAATGATACCAAAAGTAGCAAGAGTAGATTATCTGGTGCCTTCCAGTTTCAAGTACAATAAAACTGATGCAGCATAGCCAATCTGCATGGATGTGGGGATTGGGATGGCACCCATTTGGCCTACTAATGAGAAGCATATTATTCTGCTGAGATGTTTCCTGCTGCTTCCAAAACATTTAACTAGGCAAAAAGAGAAGCTGGCAAAATTTGGGCCAATAAACCAGGTGAGTACAAATCTTATTAACACGTAGAGTGGGGCAAAAAAGTATTTAGTCAGCCACCAATTGTGCAAGTTCTCCCATTAAAAACGATGAGAGAGGCCTGTAATT